TATATATATTATAGACTTGCTATTCTGTGGTCGCAACTTTGTCTCCCTCTTGCCCACAGCGCCGTCCACGACACGATAGTGCGCATCCCTCCGCCCACCCGGATCTCCACGCCGTACGGCGGCAGGCTTCAGTGGCGCCTTCCTGGAGGGAACACCATAGTGGCACACCTCAAGGACAAGGCTTTCATACGTCACAGAAAGAGGTGGAGTCAGGTAAAAAAGTAAAGTAAAGTTGTTCCCGCATCCGATTCGGATATAGGGGATTGCCTTGTTAGTGAGACAACTTTCTGGGCCTTCGACATATTGTGGTACGGTGGCCAGTTCCTTTCCACGCCGCCTTTACTTCCCCTACTCGAAGTCAGGTACCCATTACTTCTGGGTAGGCAGGAGGGGGCGAAAAAAAATCCTTGTCCGAACCGAGGCTCGAACCCGGACTTTCCGTCTCGGAGACGAGCGCACTAACCGCTCCGCCACTGATAATATTTTTGCTTAGTGCAGTGCTTATCAACCTTTTATGGCCAGCTCCCACTTTTTTTGCTACCGTTAAGAGGCTAACATTTTCCTACCGCCCACCTACAAGTATTTCCGAGAAGGGCAGCATTAAATAGAACATGTCACTTTCTTGGTGATCCCCTCCGTAAGCAAACATACCCCCGGCATCGCCACCAATATTGGATTGACAAGCGCTGTTTTTTGTATCTGTCGGTGTGTAAAGAAATTGACATACTATTCTGAAAACAAAATTGATGCACCCAACATACATGCTATATTATTGTGTATATATCACACAGAATACACGCGAACGAACACACAGACACGCACCTACAGACACACACACAGAGCACCACACAATTGTGCACGCATATTCACAAATGTGTATACACACACACACACACACACACACACACACACACACACACACACACACACACACGTACTTGTACAAACTCAAATATAATAGTTATTTCTTTGTAACATAATCGAGGATTGATACTGGTTTGAATTGCATTTTGAATAGATGGCATGACTCTCATTGGGACCCTTGCTCACATTATGCACACATGATACGTATATTTCGTTTTTTCCCAAAGTCAATACATTAACATCATCATACATAGTTTGTGTTGAAAGCGTCATTAATCACAGATCATTTATAACCATGTGATTGTGTGTATGCCTTTATTAATGACACCGACAAAGATGACGTATTTATAAACGTACATTTCAATGTTTCTCCATCACAGGTGATGTACATGTACTACTTCCTGGGGTACCAGCTCATGTCAGAAAAGATCAAACTGGCAGCCAAACGGGTCAGAGCTGACCACACATTTATACTGGCACTGGATGGTGAGTTTAGTGTATGGTAGTTGCTTTAAGTATATGTTTTTATTTATCATAATCCCATGTTTGATTTCGTTCATAAAGGAGGTGGGATGTTTCAACTTGTAGTGTGGATGAAAATACGGGCTACTTGGGATGTATCCCATCGTATTGACGGAGATACTTTATGAAATGTCTTCCTCTATTGAGAAACGAAATCGAACACTTCACGATAGAAGTGACGAGATTAACGAGTACACCAAAAACAACAATAAAAGCTGGTTTTAAAATCTATTGACTAGAAATTAAAGCATTTAACTGTTTCTTTGTTTGGTTGTGATACGTTTTAACTCGCATTAGCTATTCAAAAGGAGACACTCACTCTAGGCTTCTTTCTGGGATAGAACTAAGCCTCTTTTAGAGCTGTTAACTTGCTAGAACGTTGAGGAGGGTTCTGGCAGGCATCGAACCCAATATCCCCTGATTACGGGCTAAATATCTTTACCACTCCTTTATGCTGATTCTCAGCAGTATTTTCTACAGTGGCACCGATATAACTAAGTGCTCACTCTCAACGACAAGTGATTATTAAGCACTCATGGGTGACTTCCGGTGCCTTTAGATTAAAACCACGTCATTTTCTCGTGTGAAACGTTCTATATACAGATTCCGGCTTAGTTGAAGCACTTTCTTGACAATTAATTATAAGAGTTTCCCTATCAGTTTCTCCAGCGTATGTACTCAAATCTGTTTGATTAATTAACAAGAAATTTGATCACTATTTGTTAAAAAAAAGACTCCTTGGCAGGGCATTTTTGATGTTTGCCTTTCAAAAGGTTTTCCCACAAGAGAATTGTAATGTTTTTGAATCATGATGTTGAGATTTTCAACGTATGGGCTGCTGTAGGTAATATGAGAATAAACGAGCGGAAGCTCTATGGTAAACAGAAAAGTTGCTAGTTGCCAAAATGCTGGAAATCTTGCATAATTTTATAACTTCCATTATTATTATGGTTATGATGCGCTTACGTGTGCTAATCACTTGACTCTGTGCTATCTCGCGTGCTTTGAAAAAAGGTTGGTTTACTGAAGCTCAATGTACTTTGCAATTTTCACGTTGAAAGTAAAACATACGCATAAATCAGAATTACAAAGAACCTTTGAACTTTCTGATACAGGTGACGTAGATTTCCAACCCGAAGCAGTCAAGATTCTGGTGGACAGAATGAGAAAAAACCCGGGGCTGGGAGCGGCTTGTGGAAGGATACATCCCATTGGATCTGGTGAGTCTTTTTTGAGGTTTTGAAGATTTCTAAGTATTCTTTACTAGAATCTATACTGAGTTATGTGGAAACATCTAAAACATCATTCAGTGTTGGATTATAATTTTCAAAAATCTAACGCTTTCCAGTACATGTGAATTTGAAACGTTTAGAAACATTTTCGAAACCATAACACCATCCTTTATTTGAGTCAAATGTTTAAAAGTTATACATCGTCATTGAAGTTTTCATCATTCTCTTTCTAACTACCCCAGTTCTTCTCCATCGCCAAAAGCTTTTCCACTTCCGTTCTCTCTTCATCACTCCTCTTTCATCCAGTGTGCTTTTATTGTGTTGAGGATACAAAAGGACACTCTCTACGTATTAATCTGAATGTTTCTCTTTCTATCTATTCGTCATTCTTTTGAAAAAATATTTCAGGCCTCTCGTAATACGGGCTCAGACCTTTAGCAGATGTGTATTGAAATGTAAGCTTCACAGCATAATGTACTGCAGAACGATGTTGAAAAAGAAAGTTTTTCTGCAGGTTGATTTCAAAGGAAATATTCCCTTCACCCTTGTCAATACCTTCAATACAGTGCCCCCCAACCTCTCTATACAAAGCACCCCATCTTACGCACACGCATACCAAACAACAACAACAACAACAACAACAATAACAACCACATCCTCCCACCACCCACCCCCGAAATTAAAAAAAACCCAAACAAACCAAAAACAACATAAGATATGACAATACAAAACAAAACAAGAGCCACCCCCCAATAA